TCTATTGATTTGCTACGGTGCAGCTTCTAGCAGGGCCTAGGCGCTGCATCTGGTCATTTTTCTTCTTCCATTGCTTCACATCCATTTTTTCATCATTTTAGCATTCATTCAATCAAAACACTAACAAACACATTAAATTTGTTCTATAATTAACAAATGAAGAAATTGCACAAATTTTAAATACATTATAAAGAAATATAAATTTATAATGAATTAAAAAAAAAACACGAAAGACTTGGCTCGGCCTGTTAGGGTTCAAGCCGAAAGTTCAGGCCGAAAGGTCATTTTTTTTGGCTTGACTCAGTTTGGGCCAAAAAAAGTTCGGACCTATTTTGCTCGAATCGAGCTCGAGTTTTGAGTTTCGGCTTATAACTCAGCTCGTTGACATGGCTATACCTAATAGATACCAAGATATGATTAATGGATTCACAATGTTTAACCCAGGAGTATGTAAAATCAATCACTCAAACAAGACTAAATAATGAACAATTCAACTGTGCTTGGGCAGTCTTTCTTCTAATGTCCTTTTCGACAGTAGTTGAACACTTTCCTTTCAATGTTCCGTCTGTTTTTGGATTTGCTTTTGCTCTCTTAGTTCTTACCATTGTTACATTTAGGACCAGTTTTCACATTATGTAATTTATTCATCAAAATCAGTTAGTGGCATCTTCATCTTGTGTAAGTGATAGTCCATAGAAAACCGTGAAAAATATCAGATAAAAAATTACCATATCAATGTAAGTCTTTGAGTCAATAGTTTCACCTAAATTATCCGTTGCATTGAAGTTTGCAGTCATAGTCAATATATGATTCTTCAAAGGCATTTTAGGTTTCATTAGGATGTTTTGTAATGTACGGATGAACTCAAGACGAGCCTCCTACTTTATTGACCTGACATATAAAGGTTATGTAGTATGTCATGTGAAGCACTCCAACCCTTGAGCTTTTTCAGTAATACGTTCGATATTGAAATCAAAATGTAACAGAGAGATATTTTGTCAACAATTATTCACTTGACATAGCCCTCTTTGACCTGCCTGTAGTCTCTTTAGGTTACTCTAGACATTTGTTGCGTTTTTTCTATCGCAAGTGTACGATATCGTAACAAGTAGTAAAGTGGACCTTTAAGTCCGTATATCGTTCTCACGAAAACGAAACTTTTAGTACTTAATGTATTTTTTCTACTACTACTTGACAAAAATAGCAAATAAAAAACGATGAGTATTGTGAGAATAGATTTTCCTAAATCAATTAAATGCCTAAGACTATGGAAACGAAAGCAATGAGAATTATGATGAATGACAAA